CTGATTTTAGTGGGATTGCTTCACGTTTCTCTCCATTTAGTTTGATGTTGGCTACTAGTTTGCTGTATATTGCTTTTACTATTTTTTTGGTATGGGCCTTGAATTCCTGATCTTTCCAAGACTTTTACTATGAAGGGATGTTGAATTTTGTCAGATGCTTTCTCAGCATCTGTGAGATGATCATGTGGTTTTTTTCTTTGAGTTTGTTTATATAGTGGATTACATTGATGGATTTCCGAATATAGAACCATCCCTGCATTCCTGTGATAAGGGTGGGGAGGGAAATGGGGAAAGGGGATAACATCTGAAATGTAAATAAAATTTCCAAGAAAAAAAAAAAAGAAAAAAATTTTCAAGTATCAATACCTATAAAAAAAATACACTGATGATAGCCAGGTGTAGTAGTTATATCCTGTAATCTCAGCACTTGGGAGATGAGAAGATCACTAGTTTGAGGCCAGCCTAGTGTACCTAGACAATTCCAGACCAGCAAGTGATTAATGGTAAGACTCTGACTCAGTAAACAAACAAAAAGCCACTGATTGAAATGCCAGGTAGACAGATTATAGCAAAGCTCGAAAGTCTCTGCTCTAGACTTCAGATGTTATCTGCTGACATTCTTAGCCTTTGGGGATAGTGGAAGCTTGGGACTTATTTGTTCAGCTCTAAAAGACTTTTCTTAAGGTGTGGGGGGGGAAGGAGAGGGAGAGGGGGAGAGACAGAGATATCTCTAAAGGGTTTCATTAGGATAGTTTATAGGATATAGGCACCTTAGTTTTCCAGTGGTTCCATTTCCGAAGAAAATGTCACTCCTTTGTCAACTGCACATAAATCCTCAGGGAGGATGGATCTGAAGCTTTTAAGTTGCTGTTTTGCCAGGTGTGAAGCCTGTTTGTTTTCTCAGCCTCATCTGCCTCAGCATTATCCCTCCTCACCCCCACCCCTTTCTGTTTGCAAGTACTTCTCCATCTCAGGTTCTTTCAACACCTTGCTTTTTCCTTTGTTTTTCTTTGGCTTTTGTTTTTCAAGAAAAGGTTTCTCTGTGTAGCCTTGGCTATCCTGGAACTCACTCTGTAGACCAGACTGGCCTCCAACTCAGAGATCCACCTGCCTCTGCCTCCTGAGTGCTGAATTAAAAGCAAACACCACCACTGTCTGGCATTTGTTTAAACCCTGGGTTCAGCTATCAACAATGGATCTCTCAAATGTCTGTTTGGTTAAACCTATTCAGTGTTTAGACTTAATATATTCTATGTTAGCCACTTACAGTTCCATATCCTAGACCTCATTGTCCTTAGAACTTTTAAGGATTCATGTTCTTGCCTTCTCCATTCCTTAGAGCTGTCAGCTTATGGAAACAGCTGACTCTCTGTTCATTTGCTCCTGATGTGTTTTATCATGCTTCTGTCTTTAACTTGTAGCACTTTGCCAGCGCCCTAACTCTTGTCTTGTCACCATCTAATATTATTCCATGTCCCACACGGGAGAATGATCATAGCCCACTATGGGTCTAGTATTCATCAAGGTACCTTAGCTCTGATAGAGAGTATGCTGAAGTCCAGTCTGAAGTGTTCTGTCTCTCACCTGGATGGTAGACACTGCAGGAGATCCTCAGGTTTTGTGGCCAGCCTCTCTGCCATCCTCAGTAGCTCCTCAGACCATCTCTTCAGTGGCTTTTTTATCCTCCATACAGAATCAAAAACTTTTTATCATAGTTGGCTCTGTGGTGACTTTTTAGGTTTATTATATTTCGTGTGTGTGTTCGTCCTGCGTGCAAGTATGTGCATTACATGCATAGTATCCACAGAGGTCAGAAGGCATCAGATCTTCCGGAATGGAGTTGCAGATGGCCGTGAGCCATCATATGGATACTGGGAACTGAACCTGGGTCCCATGCAAGAATAATAGCAAGTGCGTTTAATTCTGAGTCATCCTCCAGCCCCTCTTTCATGATTTGATTGTCACTTCATTGTTGATAACCCAAAGCGTCTTTTTGTAAAATGTGAGGAAGGAAGTGTCCCTTTAGGGCAGTGGTTCTCAACCTGTGGGTTGCAACCCCTTTGGTGATTAAATGACCTTTTCACAGGGATTGCTTAAGACCATCTAAATACACAGATATTTATATTTGTAACAGCAAAATTACAGTTATGAAGTAGCAATGAAAATAATTTTATGGTTGGGGTTATCACAACATGAAGAACTATATTAAAGGTTTACAGCATTAGGAAGGTTGAGAACCACTGCTCTAGGGTATTTGATTCCATTTTAATAACTAGTGAGTATAATGGTCTATACATTTAACAATACTATTTTGCCAGGCTTTGCAACACTAGAGAGGAAGCTAAAATCTGCTCACCTCTTGTCCTTTTAAAGCATGATCTCAAAAGCATGGATTATTTCAGTTATTTCAGGCAGGAGTTTGATAAAAACAAGGATTACTTGAGAAGTTTATCAAGGACTGTTTGTGCTGGGTGTTAGAATCTAAGCATTTTGAGACATTTAGTTCTAGCATGCAGTTAAGTGCTAGTACTTGAAAACCACTTTGAAAAGCCTGGAGTTAAAAAAAAACAACACACACAAAACTGTTTTCTTGAAAAGCAAAATAATAAACTAACTCCTTTGTGGATAAGTTTGGCTCCCTGTGCCCTGTAGATAATACACATCCTATAATAAAAAAAAGTGACCACAGACTGGTGAGATGTCTCAGTAGTAAACGCATGTGCCACCCATTCTGGTGGTCAAGGTCTATCCCCAGAACCCACATAAAGGTAGAAGGAGAGACTAAACTTGACAGAGTTATTCTTCGACATCATTGCATGGTACCCACATGTGCATATCACACACACACACACAGACCAGTACTGGTAACAATAGCAGTAATAAAAGATTGATTGGTTAAGATGTAAAGGGACTGAACTTAATTAAATTTTTAATTTAAGCATTTTTGCCACTATAGAATAATAATTGGATAAATGCATTAACAATGTTGCCAAGCTAGGCAATGGTGGCGCACGCCTTTAATCCCAGCACTTGGGAGGCAGAGGCAGGTGGATTTCTGAGTTCGAGGCCAACCTGGTCTACAGAGTGAGTTCCAGGACAGCCAGGGCTACACAGAGAAACCCTGTCTCGAAAAAACCAACCAAACAAAAAAAAACAAAAAACAAACAAACAAAAATCCAAAACAACCAGTGTTGCCTGAATTTAGGAAATAAGGGCTAAAAACACACACCATATATATTGTATCCTTATCTGGGAGGGGTCATTGGCCTCATGCCGTGGAAACAGCTATTTTGAATCTTGTGTGTAATGTTCTGTCATGATCTATCATGAATGGCAGTTAGTCTGGTACCCTAAGTGATGCCTTGACTTTGATTCCAGACTTGGACAAATTTATTCTTGTGCTTCGACATCTGGTAAGAAACCAGCTCTAAATGGTTTGTGTTTCACTTAATTGCTAGTCAGGGCTGAAGTAGGGGACAGTTGTATTCACTGTTTGTTGAATACTTGTGTTATTTGGGTTTATCCTGAGAGATGAATGGTGCAGTGCTTTGAATGAGATACTCCCATAAGCCTGGTTTTTGTTTGGTTGGTTTGTTTTTTGATACCCCAAATCGGCTGCTTAGGGAGGATTAGGAGGTGTGCTCTTGCTGGAGGAAGTGTGTCACTTGGGGTTAGGCTGTGAGGTTTCAGATACTCAGGCCATTTAGCTTTCTACCTCTAGCTTGTGGTTTGAGCTCTTGACTGCTGCCTGCTACCTCTGCTTTGTCATCATGGACTCACTAAGACAAATGTTTTCTTTATTCTTCAGATGAATGAAATATCAAAGCTTCTATCTTAACATTAATGTGTCCACACTTCATCGTAAAGCCCTTTTATTCTTTGTCCTTATAGATGAAAGATTCAGTTTTCTCGGATCTCTCGTTCCTTCCTTTCTTTTTCTCTTTTTTTCTTCCTTCCCTCTTCTCCTTCCCTCCCTCTCTTTCTCCCTGCCTCCTTCCCTCTCTTCCCCCCCTCCCTCCCTCCCTCCCTCCCTCTCTCTCTCTCTCTCTCTCTTTCTTTCTTTCTTTCTTTCTTTCAAGACAATATCCCAAGCTTTCCTAGAACTCTTGCCTCAGCCTCTCAGGTGACTGAGGTTGCAGGAGTGACTCCACGTCTGGCTTTATTCTTTTTGACGTTAGGTGTTTGTTTATTATGAGTGGGCATTTCTGCTGAGCACTTTCCATCTGTGGTCTGATTATTGAACCTGGCTAGCAGTGTTATGAAATAGTTGATATTTCACTCGAGAGGCCAGTGAGAAGAAAGATAAGGCTCAAAGACAGATTCAGGTGAGCTTTTCAGAATTACAACCATCTGAAAGAGGTCTCATACCAGGGGTTTCGTTCCAGGTTTATTTCCTCAGATAGTGAACTTTATGAAATCATTCTGCTTCCCTCCTAAATATTTGAAATTTGGGGCTGCATAGGAAAGTTGTGCATGCTAGAAGTTTTCAGAAGAGAACTTACCAGATGAGACATGCTTATGCTGTATTAGTCTGTGGTATGTTATGTGCAGTCCTGTGTTTTAACAAAATGTCACTAGAAAAACACAGTGAAAGCCAGTGAAGGAATATGGTTTTGATGTCCCAGTTGTACTACAGGTGTATCCAGACATTAATAGCAACTATAACCAAAGTCCCCAGTGTCAAAGTCTCAGATGGTGGCACTACTCCTTAAGCCTGGTGGCAGAGAACAGTTTTGCTGTTGCTTTAGTAAAAAGAGTTCTGGTAGTCAGTCATCCTGCAACTTCTAATGAGGACTGGGTGACCAGCTCTCCCAAACTATCAGTTATCTGTACATTACGTTCTGTGTTTCTGAAATGCTCTCAAAGGTAAAATCTGCCTTGGGCAACTATGGGAGAAAAAAAAGGTGGGGAGGGGGTTTTGTCTGGAAAGAAAATTAAAGAGGTTATGAGCATTCGTTTTCTTCTTCTTTTTTATTATTTATTTTTTTTTGTCATCCTAGTATTAAGCATGCTCCAAAATCCACTGGGGAATGTCTTAGGAAAACCCCCCTTGAGCTTCCTGTCTCTGGATCCCCTTGGGTCTGACTTGGACAAGTTCCCAGCACCCTCAGTTAGAGGATCTCGCCTGGACACCCGGCCCATCCTGGACTCCCGTTCTAGCAGCCCCTCTGACTCAGACACGAGTGGCTTCAGCTCTGGATCAGACCATCTCTCAGATTTGATTGTATGTAACATGCTCAGGAGTGGGGGGTGTGGAGGTGGAGTTATGTGTGTCCTAGGGGAAAGATGCTACAGTATCTGTCTTAGAGCCTGAAATGGGTGTCTCATTGTAGGATGCGGGCAAGAGAGATCGATCATCAGGCACCTTTATATAGCTGTTCATCCTTAGAAAACTCAAAGACACTTTGAATGTCTATGAGAAATATATTTTAGAATCCAGTATCTTTTACTTGTTGCTCAAAGAGCTGTTAGAGAATAGTTGATTTCAAAGTAAATATAAGCGTCTTGTCAGTGTTGAAGTACATGGATGTTTTCTTTTTAGTCTTTAGAAAATATAATTATATACCTCTATGTATAATGTCCCAAAGTTCATAAGTGGTATTTTAATAAGTGACATTAGTAAGTCATAATTAATCATTAACACTGGAATTTTGATTTAGATTTGACTCCAGCTCCTGTACTTTTGCACTGACCCATGCCAACTCCCAGTCAGAAACTGTCATCAAATTTATGTATCTTGGGCTTGTTTTTACCTACAGTCAAAGGTGACATGTGCAGGCTCCATGTTAATTACACTTAGGGAATGGCTTAGGCTGCGTGGGGAGGATGGTATAAATAGCATACATAGGATAGCATAGACAGTCTAGCTGGAGGGCAAAAGTAATTACGTATGTGTCTTGAAGGTAACGAGGCAATGAGACAGTCTCCCAAAATAAGATACATTTTGAGGTACTACCTAAACTCTGCTTTTCAGTCACTAAATGCTGTGAGCTAAATGTTTAATTGAACAGGAGGGCTCATTTCTCATCTTCTTGTCTTCATGGTTACCCATTCATGACTTTTAGAACCCACCCTGTTGTTATCTTCCACCTGTCCTGAGCTTTGAACGATGGCAGTAGTTAGTATTCTTGTTGTCCATTCATTTACTCTGTCCAGACTAGTTTCTAGAATGACAGCTACAGTCAGGTTCACACCCTGTGGGACAGGTTCACAAGGTACTTGCTCCCTTTCATCACTTAGATAGAACTCATCTTGGGAATTTACCTCATGCCTGATAAATACAGCTCTCTCAGATACCACATCTAAGCATTCATTTGGAAGGAGACAAAGCTAACACAAAAGAAGAAATGAGACAGTATTTGTATTTATAGAAAATATTCTATTAAATTTTAATAATACACAGTTTTGATGCTCAGAATTTCAAGCTTGAACACAAATATATAGTATAACATGTTCAAATACATTTCTAATAGAACATAAGTGTGTCAGAGGAAAAAAGTTGTTTAGCAATAGTAGCAATAGGTAACTGGTGATAAATAAAATGTGATAAGTTTATCAAAATTTTTATGAAAATTTTCTGGTAAGAAAAAATGTCTATGTTGAGAGACAGTTTATTTTAATTATATTTCTATGTAACTATCTATATAGTTATATCTATAACTATTCTTAAAAATGAATAGGAAGACAGACTGAAAGAAAATATATCAAATTACAAATGCAAATTATAAATGTTATATTAGATAGTTTTCCTATTTCTGTTATGTGATTATTACTTTATAACAAAACTGTCTTTTAAAATTTGTGTCTTTTTCCTCCTCTAGTCAAGCCTTCGCATTTCCCCTCCGCTGCCCTTTCTTTCTATGACGGGAAATGGTCCCAGAGACCCTCTAAAGATGGGAGTTGGGTCCAGAATGGACCAAGAACAAGCTGCTCTTGCTGCAGTTGCTCCCTCTCCAACCAGTGCTCCAAAGAGATGGCCAGGAGCTTCTGTGTGGCCATCTTGGGACCTTCTTGGAGCTCCTAAAGACCCATTCAGCATAGAGAGAGAGGCTAGACTCCACCGGCAGGCTGCAGGTGAGTGCTGCATAGCTGTGGCTGTGTGTGAAGCCTGAGACCTCTTTCTAGAGACAGAGTTGACCTTTATCCACACAGTGTTGAACTCTTCTGGAAGAGGGTTTGATAGTGTAGTAAAGTTCCAGGTCTAAAGAGCCATGTGTTCTGTAGAGTAAAGGACAGCCTTGAGATTGAGTTGAAGGAGGCAGACAGCCTGGCACACAGGCTGTGCTGTAGCAGAAGATGGCTGGCCCCACCTCTTACTCTGGGCTTATGTGGAAGATAGATGTGCATCGCCCTTGTTTTTGACTGTTGCATAAGAAAGACAGAAACCTTGAAAATTATGTCTACAGTTTTGTCTGCCTTCCTTATTTCTAATTGAAAGTCATAGCACTCAAAGTTCATTTTCTGACTTTCTGCCCTGAGATATTTTTTGTGTTTTGGATTGGTACATTCAGGACAGGTCGTCTAGTTGTTAACTTCTAAGGTGTAGGATATCACCAAGTACTCAGGTCTCTTTCAAGTCCATTAGTTTCTTTAAATAATCTTGATGTGCAAGCTGGAAGGATGGCTCAGTGGTTAAGAGCACTGGCTGCTCTTCCAGAGGGCCTGGGTGTTCAGTTCCTACCAGCCATATGGCACATTATGATTATCTATAGCTCCAGTTCTTGGGGATCCAAACCCTTTCTAGCCTCTGCAGGCATCAGGCATGTACACAGTGCACAGATGTATGTGCAGGCAAGACACCTATATACATAAAGTAAAAATCTCAAAAAATTGTTTTAATAGTCTTCTTTTTTCTTTCTTGATTTTTAGACAGAGTCTCTCTACATAGCCCTGGCTGTCTTGGACTGCACTGTAGGTCAGGCTGGCCTTGAACTTAAGAGATCCACTTGCTTCTGCCTCCTGAGTGTTAGGATTAGAGTAATGTGCCACCATGTCTAGGTGCATAATCTTAAGTATATGTTAAATCTGTTGTTTTTTTTTTTTTACATTACACCTGAGCTTGGAAGTAAATGAGGTACTTATATCATTAACTACTAATGTCTTCATTGCTTTCCACCCAAGTAATGGCTCTGTGGTCTGGTACATGTTATTTCTCTGTTACATGTGTTTGCATAGAGCTTATCCTTACCTTGTTCTCCACTAATAGTTCGAGTACCCTGTTCATCGAGTGATTCTGATAGCACATGCTTGTGTTTACTGCGTGGCCACTTTTTGGGATGCTTTCTGGAGGCTACTTGTTTTTATATGGGATAGTAGTGCCCAGTTTCTTGTCACAGCAACACATTAGCCCTATTCATGTTAGGGAATAATGTCTTATCTCCTTGAATGTCTTCCTCAGTGCTGAAGGAAAGGGTAATATGTCAAGAAGTCCTCACCTAGGTCGCCTTCCAATGGGAAAGGCTTGAAGTGACCTCCGAGGACAGACATCTGGAAATTAGCAGGACAAGCCAATCTGAAGAGAAGTCCAAGCATATACAGCAGAAAGGGTCTCTTGACATATTTGGGTTTGACATAAGTAGAAAGCAGAGGGTTTGGACAGAAATCCATTATCATACTGTGTGGGCAGCAGGGAAATTCAGTGCCTACTCAAGTGCTGGTGGATCGGGGTGTGGAACGTGGAGATGTGTTTACTACTGAGCTGTGCTTCTAATGTCAGTGTCTTGACTTCTGTGGTTGGTGGATTCAGAGACAAGATAAGGAAACAGTAGAGTGTCCCTTTAACTGAGGGAGAAAATCTACGAGGGCCAGAAACTTGGATATGTGATCGTTCCATCCACTCCTAAATATTTATAAATCTACTTACTACTATAAACAATAGCAAGATCAAGCTGCTTTCTTGACAGCTAATAAGTTATATAGTCAAATAGCTTTAGTTGTGAATTTTTTACCCTATACATCTGGTATTCCTGTTGATCTTACTGGAGGCAAAGCTGATGAGGTAGGATTATCAGAGTTACCTTAAATATTTGAGGAGGCATAAAGTGTTCTGTCTTTCAGAATAATCATGGATAGTCTCCTGGGAAACCCAATTGGAATTGTGAATGTTCCATTTCCTCAACAAGTCCATTTCAGAGAAGGGTAGTGACTTTGTTGATTGTCTGAACCCTTGTTTGTTTGTTTTTTTTCTTTGTCTCCTCCCAAAGCTGTGAATGAAGCTACGTGTACCTGGAGTGGCCAACTTCCTCCCCGAAACTATAAGAACCCCATCTACTCATGCAAGGTGTTCCTAGGAGGTGTTCCTTGGGATATTACAGAAGGTGAGCTGCCTGTAAGATCTCTTATGAGTTGAAGCATATCTTTTGGTGGAGCATATCTTTGAAGAGTGTGACCCTTAGGCTCCAGGTTAGAGCCTGAGCCTCTGCCTCAGCACAGGTGTTACAGAAGCCCCTGAGAGAGAATGTGCATTTCATAAGCTTTGTAGAGCTCTGTGTGTCTGCTGACACACGAGTCCAGAAGTCAGTTCCAAGTTGTTTCTCAGGAGCAGTGAACCTTGGGAGGAGTACTGGTGATCCTGTGTTTGTCTTTCCTGAGTAGACTATGTATTGGTTTCTGTTGTTCTTCCCCATCTGTGCAGCTGGATTGGTTAACACCTTCCGTGTTTTTGGCTCTCTGAGTGTGGAGTGGCCTGGTAAGGATGGCAAGCACCCCCGGTGTCCTCCCAAAGGTAATATGCCTAAAGGTAATAAAGACATGGTAGGAATTTTTTTTTCCCTTCTCCCTCACATGTACTGCACCATGTGTTGCTGGGCTGTCACAGACGCATGCTGGTAAAGTAGGCACTCCAGGGTAAAGTCAACACACCCTCTTCTATTTTGCACACTCCTTTGTCCATCTGTCCAAACTTGCAGTGATGTGGGGAGATGCCATCAGACCCCTTTCTGAGCACCTCCCTCTGAACCTAAACCCCCACCAATGCCTTCCCTCTTGAATAAGTTATTCACTTAAAGAGTGTTCTTTTGCCTGCCTTTGCTGCCCCAGGGGTTGTTGTCTGACCCACTTCTGAGATTCCCTTTGGAGTTGGCAGGAATGAGGACCAAGTATCTGATTCCTCACTGGTCTAAAATGAGATCCTGCCCTGTAGAAAGAAGCAGGTGCTATTTTCATTCTGCCCCCATCCCCCATATTCACTGAACTTGAACCAGTGGTTTAACTAGGCTTTTAAAGCAGTACCTGCATCCTCTGCAAACTGACCACAGACCTGTTCTTTTTCCTGGCTCTGTTGACCTGAGAATACTCTTGTGTTCTGGGGTAGAGAGCTGTATGGTTGTAGGTGGGGTCATCTGTCCCAGCCTGACAGGACCTTTCCTTAGCAAAATTTGATGTAAATCTCTCTCCCTTAGTATAGCATGAGGCATAGTAAATGGTCTGACAAGCCTTTTCAGAAGTAGAACAAAATGTACCTTGGAGCAAGGGATTTAATTCGGTAGTGGAGTGCTTGCCTAGCATGCACGAGGCCATGGGGTCAGTCCCCAACACTACCCTCCAAAAAATGTGTCTTGCACTTGAGGCTTCCTCCCTTAGAAGAAACTCCCTGCTCGAAGCCTTGACTCTTCAGCCACACTAGAGGATGTAAAATTGCCACCTGAGGGATAGTAAGGCTTCTTTTTCTTTTGTTGAGTATAGGGTATGTATATTTGGTGTTTGAACTAGAGAAGTCCGTCCGGGCCTTGCTTCAGGCTTGTTCTCATGACCCGCTGAGCCCAGATGGCCTGAGTGAATATTATTTCAAGATGTCCAGCCGGAGGATGCGCTGCAAAGAGGTGGGTTAGCTTGGTAACCGTGTATCAGTTACCTTACATGGCTGTGAGAAAACACCATGGCCAAGTAACCTATAAAAGAGAACATTTAATTTGGTTTCTGGCTTCAGAAAGTTAAAGCTTATGATGTGGAGTAAAGGCGTGGTAGCAGCAACAGCAGGGAGGTCACATCTCAACCTCAAGCAGGAGGCAGAGAGCTCGTGAGAAATATAATAACATGAGTATTTTAAACCTCAAAGCCTGCCCCCCCCCCCCCCAGGGACACACCATGTCCAACAAGGCCACAGCTCCTAATTGTTCCCAAGTAGTTCCACCAACTGAGGACTAAGAATTCAAATGCTCTTACTGAAACCAGCTTAGTCACTGTGATAAAATACCATGACTTAAGGCAACTGACAGAAGAATGTATTTGGGCTTATGGTTCTAGAAAGATAAGAGTTCATAATGGCAGGGACAAGACAGCTGCAGAAACAAATGTTAAGAGCTTACATCCTTTACCATAAGCACAAAGCAGAGAAAGCAAGTTGGAAGTGAAAGGTGGATTTTCATCTCAAAGCCTTCTCAGGGTGACTCAGTTCCTCCAGCAAGGCTATACCATAGCACCAAAATTCTCAAACTGCACCCCCTACTGAGGACACACCCAAGACTTTGGGAGACATTTCTCATTCAAACCAACACATTAGCTGCCCTTTCTTGATATTTGGCATATCATGGCACTAGATTTTCTTGGCACCAATTCTTGCTAAGGAAAGACATCTAGTTTGTTTGGTTGGTTGTTTTGTTTTGTTTGTCCCATGGTAAATACATCCACTATTTTCTAGATTGCATTTTTTCAAAAATCCAGCTGTTAAGCCTTACTGAGATGAAAGGGGAGGTATGTGAATGTGGACACACAGTCCTGGATCCAGTGGGAGGTCGAGCCTTCCCAGCCTTTTCTGTTCTTTTCTGATCTACACTTAAATCCCAAACCTCATCTTAGAGATGAAATTGAAAGCAGCAACTTTCCCTACTTGTACTAAACTGATAAAAATCTACAGATATTTCCCTCTAGTTCTCAGACTGTGCTTCCTGACCCCATAGTGTATGATGGTGAGTAAGTCCCCTAAGCACACACCCAGCTGTGGCTGCTTTACTCCCTCTTGGGCCTTTCTTAGTTACACAGCTCTGTCAGTATGATGCCTCTCTAAATATTCTTGTCAGAAGCTGGTGTGTCTGGATAGCATACTGATTTCACATTGGAGGAACCTCATTGCAGATTCTTTTTTTTTTTTTTTTTTTTGAGGCTAGTGAACCAATGAGTTTATTAAGATTACCTACAAGACAGTAGAGTCATATGCACAGGTGTGTCAGTGACTCGAAGGCAAGGGCATCCCTGAAAAGCCAATATAAGCAATGGTTCTGAAAAGCTACATCCATAGAGCTCCCTGCCAGACTCTCATTCAGCCCCACAAGATAGTCTCTCCCCAGCAATTGCTGACTGTACTTGCAACCTTGGGGAGGAGCCATGGGAATCATACCTTTGAAGCATCCTGAGGCTCCCTGTATCCTAGAGTCTATATCACCTCTACAAGTGAAGTGCTTCTCATTGCAGATTCTTATCTCAGGCTTGCTGAATCATTTGTGTAGAGCTTAGGAATCTCTTTTAATCAGGCTCCCCAACTGGGTAGAGTTTTGAAAACCAATTGTTTTGAGTTTAGAAATTGGTGTAGTGTTTTTATTAGGATGATTCCAAAGAACATCACTTTTGTGAAATAAAACTATCGTGAAATTGTATTACTCATCTGTAAGACAGGAAGCCAAAAATATCTCTAATTAAAAAGATCAGTGCTTTCCAGGGGAAGGAAACAGACTATGCAAAGCACAAAGGAGTTTTTGGGGGGCTGTGAGATGACATTCAGCTACCACTGCAGTGTTATAAAGTCATCACACATTTCCTCTAACCCAATAATGTGCAGCAGACATGAAGAAAACCCAGTGTAAACTCTAGTTTTGAGGTGATAATAATTGTCAGTGTGGGGTCACCAGTTGGAACAAATGGATCTTTTGGTGCAGAGTATTGCTAGTTGAGGGGGCTTGTGTATGTGGTGGGGGGCCAGCATATGGGAAATGTCAGTTCTTTTGTGCAGTTTTACTGTGAACCTAAATCAATTCTTAGAAACTAAAGTCTGTTTCTTAAAAATCTGTATCTTAAAAGAGGGAAATGCTTATTGGGATGGCCACATCACTTTTAGATAGTTTATTGACCCATCTGGTTCTTTGCATTATAGAAGCTCCTCCATGTTTCTCTTGTTCAAGCAGCTCACTGTAGGTAAGATTACATCATCTACTCTTTCCTCCTTTGTCCCCTGCCCTCACACATGAGGCTGGCATAGCTACAGGACAGCCAGCCTGCTCACGCCCTGATCATACCTTCCCATCTCCCACCCCCTCCTTTTCACCGCAGAGACTGAGTGTCCCTCTGATGCTCCAGCTCCAGCTACCCCAGCCCTCTCTCTTCTGGGACTGTGCGTCCCACTGTGTCCTCCATCCTCACTATGGTGTTGACTCCCTCCTGTCATCTTTCCTACTTCAGATAATATATTCATTTTGTGGTTCTACTGTTTTTAGACCCAGACTCACCTGTCTAACCTGTCCTGTCTGGGCCCTGTTCTTTGTTATATCCTGTAACTGTAGATTGCCCTATGTGCAAAGTAGTCTTTTTCTTGAATTTGTATAACTGTTGGCTTCCCCGTGCATCTTCTCTACCAGATTCTTCCGACTTCAGGCCCTTCCTGGTTCCTCCTTGCTTCCCACTCAGAAAGTATGACCTCTGCAGATTTCCATTGAAGAGTATCTTTACTTGTGACCTGTGACCATTGCCACCAACCTTGTTCAGATCTTCTTTTAAATTGTTTTTACCTCTTAGTGTTTGCCTCAGTTCTCTTCCTGCTTCAAAACATTAAAGAAAATCTAGCTAATTTAACATAAAGAGTTACTGGCATCTGTAAGCCTAATTGATTATAAAGCCCTCTGCCTGCTATACACTAGGCTTGATTCTGGGGTCAGAGACTCAGAGGAAAGAAGATGTCGACACTTACCCTGGTGTTAGTGAAATTTTTAACACTTCAGATATTTGTGTGTGGCCACAGAGAGATAGAGGTGTGGGGGGGAGACAAATACAAAGACAGACAGGCAGAGACAGACATACACAGAGAGAGACAGAAACAGACATACAAAGGGCAGGGGGAGATGTTCTCACTGTTGCTGGCACAAAACCCTCTAAATACCTTGGTTTTACCAGTAACTTTCTCAGTGATATCATAAGCATTTCCATCTTTCTATCCTTCATGTTTTTACCTTTTAAATGTTCTGTGAGTTCTCCTGTCACAAGGACTCTTGTTTTCTTTCTTGAGAACTCCTGCTCTGTTAGTTCCTGTGGCCCTTGGTTGGAGTTACAGGATCCTGGGCCTGTCAGTTTGTTCCTTCTTGATTACTCTGCACAATGAGCAAGGTCTGTTGTGTTCACTTTTATCATTATGAACAAAGGGAATTCAACTTAAGTTGTGTTGAAGAAAGCCTGTGTGCCCCAGATGGGTGGGTGACAGCACCCATTCACCCTTGTGTAGTCACAGTAGCTGCAGCTGTAGTATCCAGAGCATGTACCCTATTGCACAGGAAGCTCTGTCTTTCTGAAGATGTCAGCTGATAAACCTTTGGGGGGTTTTCAGGTACAGGTAATCCCTTGGGTCTTGGCTGACAGCAACTTTGTCTGGAGCCCATCTCAGAGGCTGGATCCCAGCAGGACGGTGTTTGTTGGTGCCTTGCACGGGATGCTCAATGCTGAGGCTCTGGCTGCCATCTTGAATGACCTATTTGGTGGAGTGGTGTATGCTGGGATTGACACAGATAAGCACAAGTACCCCATTGGTGAGTGTCCTACTTCTGTGTGGGAAGGATTGTTGCTCCTGGGAGTAGATTAAGATGGTAATACTTACCCCTTGGGAGTGTAGAGAGACCTGACCCAGGTTTGCAGATCTTTTCCTCCAGAAGTTAACAGCACTGGCCCATCTGCATCTTGCTTCTGCTACTATTTCACACACTAAGAAGAAGGGTAATTACAGGACTATGATAGTATTGGTGAAAAGGATGAAAGAAGTTTGTTGGAAATTCAAAGTACAGAGTCAAACTAGTTTTGGACAAACTGCATTTAAAGACTACATTTTACTAAGAACTTTCCTTCATTAAAAGTTCTTCCCAGGCAAAGTGGCACGTGCCTGTAGTTCTAATACTTGGGAGATAGAGGCAGGTGGATCTCTGAGTTCAAAGGCATCCAGGACTACGTATTGAGACCTTGTCAGGAAAGAAGGGCAATGGGAAAAAGGAAAAAGAAGGAAAATTTGTTTTTGATTTTACATCTTTGATATTGTCTAGAGTTAGAGAAAAGGTCAGGTGCTTTCTGGATAATTTTTAAAAAATGGCATATCCATTGAGCTGTTGTTTATCTTGATGTCTATGTCTTGACTGAGTTTTGATCAGCCTTTCTGAGAAAGGAGGTTAGTTCCAGACATAATGCAGTGATCTCAGTGATTGTGCTTAAAACTTCTATGTAAACCAGCCTGGCCTCAGGAAATCTGCCTGTTAGGCATCCCAAGTGCTGGTATTAAAGGTATGCACCAGCATACCCAGCAGTACTTTTGTTTCCTGACAGCCCTCACACTAGTTTTTCTTAAAGGCTCCATGGCTTTATGACAGGTCTGATGATTTTTCAAGTAGAGAAGTTTTGAGTCAGCCTGCTGAATGGATCCTTTGGGAAACTCTAGTCTGAGGGAGAGGGACTCCTAAGTACTAAGGCATCTTTGTAAGATGCAAATACTCACTACTAATCAGAATCCAAGAGTTCTCTTCCTGCAAGACTGTAAGGTCTAGTCTTCCACCTGGAGCCTGGCCTCCACTTCATTGGAAATTCACTGGTAAACTAAGCTGCAACCCCCAGAGATTACTGATGCTTTGATCTCTTCAGTCTTCTTCCGTTCCATAGACAAGGATATCTTTTTTTTTCTTTTTTCCTCCCACCACGAGTTACTTTTAGAGTAAGGGCTTTCTGCTGTGTACCGGACCAGAGTGACGTAGATGAGTTGAAGCATGAGGCACAGCCTTGGCCCCTTGATACATGTACTGTGGCCAGCACAGTCTCCTTAGGGTTAAGCACACCACCCTGTCCCAGGGAACAGCTGGAGGAACAGTCCCCCCTGGACAGATGAGGCCATTAGACCAAAGCCTAAGAGCTTGCTTTGGGCTTGGGTATGACAGAATAACCAGAAGCTGAAGGTTGGAGATAGTGTCTTCACTGACTGGGAGCAGTATAGTTAACTGAGATCTTAATTTGTTGGTATGTTTGAAAGCTCTCTGTGAGGCAGCCGCTGTTTTTAAGCACTTGAGGTTAGCCCTTCCTGTTTAGCTCATCCCAGGTTGAGAAAAAATGTGCTAAGACATTTAAGAGCAGCTCTAATGGAATACTGTGCTGGGATGTGAAGAAAAGCCACTCTGGTTAGGTGTTGATTGCTGTAACACCGGGAAAGGACAGGAACCTCTCCAATTAGGCTAGACCCTACTGAGCTCTGACTAGAGGCACGCGCGGGGTGGAGGTCGGGAATGACCCCTCTACTACTACACCTTTCATAGCGGGCCTCAGCTGCCTCATCTCAGAGCCTTAAAATATCGCCTAGATTAAAGCACACCGAACGTCCAAAGGAAGCACAGAATTATTTGGAACGGAAACCAAGTCTGCGCGTGCGCACGACGAGCGATCGGCGTGCGCACGCGCAGACTTCCGCCCCGCCCACAGCCAGGCACTGTCCCTCCACTCCGCTAGGGGCCGCTGTGGTACTCTCGCGAGCTTCACGCAGCCAAGGCCGGGCGGAAGCGACTTTCAGGCCTGCGCTTTATAGGCCTCTCTTGTGCTTCCTGTTTCCTCTTTTACGGAGACCCGCCAACATGGTAGGTGTTTGGCTCCGAGGGCTCTGTCCTTTTCAATCCGCGCCCATCCTCCGCTTGTCGCGGCCTCAAGTCCGCAGCGAGAGGCTGTCGGCCGGGCCGGCGCGGTGTCTGTCGGCCTGGAGGGCTTCCGCTTGAAGCTCTGCCCTCACCGGCCCCTCCGGGAGCCGGCGCCTGCTTCCTCCACGGGAGGCTCGGGCGCCCCAGTGACTTTGCCCTCTCCACCTTCAGGGCCGCGTTCGCACCAAGACTGTGAAGAAGGCGGCCAGGGTCATCATCGAGAAGTACTACACGCGCCTGGGAAACGACTTCCACACCAACAAGCGCGTGTGCGAAGAGATCGCCATCATCCCCAGCAAGAAACTTCGGAACAAGATAGCCGGGTGAGTGGAGGCCTCGCGGCTGCCCGGGGAAGCTGTCCCACCGGACGAGCCTGTCCCGGCCGGTTCCTTTGCTTCCCCCAAATGATCCGCGGAGGAGCCGGGGGCGTGCGCTGTTCACAGTGGGTATTTTTGCCGAGATGATCAGTTCGGGTTATTCACGGTAGCTGAAGGCAGAGCTCTGCCCTCAAAACCTTACTGCCGAGGGATCTGCTTTCAGCGTTTATCACCGTGGCCATGTTGTAGGGAAAGTTTAACAGTGCTGTGTGCGAACGACTGAGGAGACCAGTCAAGGTACAAGTGCTGAAGACTGGTGCCTGGGACGGGAGGCTTGGTGTTGACGGGGTGTGAGGAACGTAGGGGTGGATGTCCGGACAGGTGTGTGTGTGTGTGTAGAGGAGGCTCTCGGGTGGTGAGTGCGACCTTGATGTAGGAGCAAAGTAGGTTTTGTATCCAGACATTCCAGCACTAGGCCGGAAGTGGTCACTGCTGTTCCTGGTTTGTGTGCTTGTAGCTATGTCACGCATCTGATGAAGCGGATTCAGAGAGGTCCTGTGAGAGGTATCTCTATCAAGTTGCAGGAAGAAGAGAGAGAGAGGAGAGATAATTATGTTCCCGAGGTAAACTTTTGTGGGTCTTTCTCTGTGCCTCTTAACCACCTGCTCGGGTGGTAATGGCGGCTCCTTTGTGGTGGGTGTGAGTGAGGTCTTACTTAGCTGAGTTCCTCAAACTGAGAAGAGATCTGCCTGCCCCTGCCTTCTGAGTGCTGGGATTGAAGGCGTGGACCACCGAGCCCAGCCAGGGGCGCCTGTTCTCAGCCTACCTATTAGCCTTTTTGCGATATCTAAATGCAGTTTTCTCTTTCCACATGGCAGCCTAGTGAGAGTGCCTCCCGACTTGATTAGCTTGACATACAAATGTGAACCCTGCTTAAGGCTTTCTGAATGTGCACTAGGTGATTCCGACATAATAATAAAGTAGTCCTGATTTCAGCATTTGGGAGGCAAATCTCTGAGCTTGAGGCCAGCCTGGTCTACATAGTGAGTTCCAGGACAGCCAAGGTTATGTGGGAAAACTCTAGTCTTGAGTGGGAGCAGAGGAGGTGAAAGATAACACATTCATAATTTGGACTTGATCCTTTCTCTCTTAGGTCTCAGCCCTAGACCAGGAGATCATTGAGGTAGATCCTGACACCAAGGAAATGCTGAAGCTTCTGGTGAGTGTTGGTCGATTGCCTGAGTGAGGCTGGTTTCTGAACTGCTGTGGCTGCTTGTTCCATGTGTGTTGAAATAGCTTTCCCGAGAGTTCAGGATTGTGGGATATACTGAGTTCTTCATGTTTTCCTTGTTCTGGGGCTGGGTTCTAAATTGTACTAGCCCCCTTCAGCTCTGGCTCTATTACCTGCGTTCCTTGGAGACTGTCTTCTAACCAGAAAGGATTCTCTAATCTCATTTCAAGAATAGGCTGGTCACACAGTTCAGGTATATTCAATGTGGCTTAGCAGCTAAAAGGACTGAGACACTTTTCATAAGTGTGTGAAGGTTAGGCTCCAGAATCCAGCATGCTTTTAGTGATTTTGAGCAGTTTAAGGCATTAAAAAATACTCTCCCCATGTACCCACATCTGACTTTAATGAAACTAGCAGCTGAAGCTTGCTGGGACCACTGCTGGTCTCCAAATAGCCTTTCTTCTGAAGCCATTTGGCTCCAGGACATGGTGGGCCTCCTGGGTGCTGAGTGTGCTGGGAGACGGGCCTGGTCCTCTACTCTTTGGTGCTTTGTACATTGGGTTCCCTCTCAAGTGTTGACTGAGGTTGGGGAAGTGTTTTAGGCTCTGCCTCTCTGTATGCAATGTGACCAGTACTGCTTCTGTAGTGTTACTTTTGCTAAGACAATGCTTACAGGCTTTTAGGCTCTAGTTAGATGCAGTGGTGGCAATAGAGTGTTAAGTCCTTGGAGATGGAGGGCAGGCGTGGGTTTTGTTATGGGGTTTGGCAGTGTCTAGGCCAGTTCTGTATCCTGGCTAGGGAATAAATACTGCTGAAGCCTGGTAGGTTGGATCAAAGTAGAGAATTACATTTTTTTAGGGGTGTGTTTCATCAATCCGGTATGTGTTGACAGGTTCCTGGGGGTGGGAAGCCCCCTGTCAGACAAGAAGGGCTGGCAGAGCACATCTGTGCTCCCTCACCGCGTGTCTGTTGTTTTGCAGGACTTTGGCAGTCTCTCTAACCTTCAGGTCACTCAGCCTACAGTTGGGATGAATTTCAAAACACCACGTGGAGCTGTTTAATCTGTTATGCCATATTTTCAATAAACCTGAAAAAACAAATTTGTGTTGTTCTTGCTGTTGCAGGGGGTACGGAACACTTAGAAACCTAGTCTGGTACTTGGGATCCTAGCATGCTCTCAGGACATGGTAAAGCTGTTAATCTCAGTTCACTCCCCTCAGTTTGTTGGAAAAGCAAAGTTGGGGTCAGCGTGTCTAGTCGAAGGACAGCTGTGTCAACCAGGGAAAGGGGGGTACCTGGGCTTGTTTGTAAGGTTTCTTGGGTAGGTAGGAGCTTTGACGTTTCCTGCATGAACACCTTTTCAATCTGATAGGTTTAAATGTTTCCTGAGCCCTAGAATGGAAAACTCCCCTTTGTAATTAGTGATGGTTATGTGGGGCTAGCCTGTACCTCATGAACAGTTTTTTGCTCCCACATGGCATCTGTTGGTAACTCCCTTTACTATAACGTTCTACAAAGAGGGCTTTTGCCCTCAAATTAGCAGCTGTTGGGAAGACCCAGCAAGCATGGGGAAGGTATTTTTCCTCCACTGGTGTTTGGTGGGTAACTGTTACGCTGGGCTCAAGGTCTGCATGGGGGTGCTTGCTCCTGGATACTTTGTTGGGACTACAGTATCTGCTTGTTGAAGACTCCAGAGTGTCCACAGAAGCAGAATAATCGTGTTAGCGGTGCTGGGGTGAGAATGTATGGTGATGCAGGTTCAGTTGTAAAATGACCTAGAGGAACTCCAATCTGCCTGCCTCTGCCTCCCAAATGCTGTTATTAAAGGTAGGTCTGAGCCGGGCGGTGGTGGTGCACGCCTTTAATCCCAGCACTTGGGAGGCAGAGGCAGGCGGATTTCTGAGTTCGAGGCCAGCTAGGGCTACACAGAGAAACCCTGTCTCGAAAAACGAAAAGAAAAAAAAAAGGTCTGCCACTATCACCAGGGACATGGAGCGGTGCCCTGGACAGCTGCTCTAGCTGTAAACTGACTCCATATTGTCTCGCTCAGCTTCACTAGTATAAAGCGGTCTTGTGATCAAAGCCCTGTATCTTTCCTATCTTGCCCATACACACTGCTTATTAAATGCCCAATTAAGTTTTAAAAATCACCTGTTAGGGTGAACTGGTCAGCTGGTTGTGT